AAGAATGAATTTTTGTTAATTCCCACTGCTTCTGTGCTGTACTTGTGACACATTCATTGTTGCACGAGTGTTTTCCATTTGGCGCTTGTATTGGGATATTCATACCTATATTTGATGTGTCACACCTGTTGCATGAGAGAAGATCACGCATCTATTAGGGGGGACGTGCGGATTAAGTGAATACATACGTTTCATGTTCTGGTTCCTATAAACACCAGAATTTTCTTCCGCAGACAATCATCTTTGCATTGTGCTCCATGTTTCTGATCGATTAAGGATTTTCTCAGCAAGGATTAGTGCATAACAGGCCGTGTAGCATAAATTACTCATGTGACCACCTTAAGGATGGTGGACAGAACATAAATTTACAATAATCCTCATGCAATAATAATGAGCAACAGGGAGGCTCCTTTTCCACTAAGCGATTCATATGAGTTACACAAAGCCAAGTTGGACATGTAGAAGGAAATACATAAATTATTTTGTCAGAATAAAGAAATGTCGTATATATTTGGCACATTCCGCCGTCTGTCTACATTGCCCACAGGAGTGTTCTATAGACGTTGCGGAGCAGTGAACAGATATTACCATAAATGGAGGATACAAATAGTGTATAACTCAATAAGTAGTGGAGGAGTGCACATGTTCTATCTTAGCCCGTGTCAATGATTGGAAAGATCGTTACCTGTTCATGATTCTGGAAAATGAAACTCATAAGTTCAGAAGTGTACATCTAGTTTCCTCTTAAGGAAGGAGGGAATAACTTTGTCATATGAGTGCATTTTAACTGACCACTCCAATTCATTTCATAGACTGTTATTTAGGAGGATATTTAATTCCCCATTTTAGAGTGTAATAAAATAACCCAATTGAGGGCAGAAAAGGTGAGGCTATTTCAACAACACGGGTCGAACAATGTTATACCGTAGAAAATATAACACTTATTCTTCATCGTTTTCTCAAAGAAGTGCCTTCTTATCATAGGTGCTTTTTTATAGGAATTAAATAAATGATAAATACCCAATTGCCTATTTTAGTATTGCGATAATGGATCACTGTATAATTTCGATGACAT